TTCGGTTTACAGGGTTTTGGCACGAGATAACCCGAAGACTACTCGCTGAGGCGCAGCATTTTGCCTGTTGCTCACATGTAATTGGGTAGTAATTAGATGTCAATCGGCTTTGATTAGATTTCACTTCGATTGTAGTTAGGTTTCCATTGATGCTAAATCAGCTTTTGCTACCGATCTTAATTTGATGTCGGTTAGATTTTAGTTTTAGACTAAGTTTAGTTAGACTTTTAATTTGATGTCATTTGCTTCTAACCTCATTCTCAATCCATTTCTTTACGGTTTTACTTAAATTCACTTGTGTTCTATTCGATCTTCCTTTTTTTCGTAGATGTCAATAAGGTCCCATACCATGTACCGCCCTAATGTTCGGGTTGTACGCTACATACCCCCCCCCTAGTGTTAAATACAGTTTAGAATACATACATGAGGACGGGGGATGTTCTTGATTCTTCTAATATTGGGGTCACTGCCACTACAACTTCTACGACACCATCCATACTACTACCACCAGTACTTCTGCCGGTGCTAGTGATAACAGTAATCACTACTACGCTTCTCACCCGGTTTTGGGTTACCACTGCATGGGCTTTCAAAGTAGGGGTCCTTGAACCCAAACTCTTAACCAAAACTATTGGGTTTAGGGTTTTGGGATCCTTGAACCCTGAGGCCTTGAAGAACCCTAAACCCTAGAACCTAGACCCTAAACCCTAAACCCTAAAACCTAGACCCTAAACCCTAAACCCTACGAGCTTTGCTCATCTTTGCTCTGTTTAGGGACCCGGCAAAAACTCTGGAGGTGGTGGTAGCTGTGGCACCAGATGCGGAAACGCCCCAATCTTGCCCTGGTTTAAGGTTTTTGGTTGGGGATTTGGGGTTTAGGGTTTAGGGTTTAGGGTTTAGGATTTAGGGTTTAGGGTTTAGGGCTTAGGGTTTGCGATTTAGGGCTCTTGTGGAATCAGAAGGGAGCTAAAGCCTGCAGGATCTATGGCAAGGGGAGAAGTGTGATGTACATAGCTCTGAAATTCCTGTCTGCATGAACCTCTCCTATCACCTTCAGTAACAAACATCCTCGTTTATAGCCCATAGTTGACCTTCCCAGGAAAGCAACTTTCCAAACATTTACAGTGGGTTATGAAGTTGTTCTCACATGTTGCCTAACTCCAGGGTCCCCTAAAGTAGAAAGCGTCAACAACTGCGAACTTTATCCTTGTTCATCCTCATACACCAACTGTAGAACTTTCCTGGGAACTTTATTCTCACAGCTTTAACAGCCCATGTCACTTCCAAACGTTCGGCCGCAAAACATGCCGGCCTTTTGTCTTGTTCTTCTAGTGCCATTAAGGCTTGGGTCAACAGATCTATTCCCAGTCCAGTCGGCACGCGGAAATAGTACACAAAACCTCAGAATCTTGAAGCACACTAACCAAGACGATTAGATTTCGCAAAGAAGATAGCGCAGCTTTTGGCGAAGAGCACAGCCTTGCCTCTGGCAAGTTCCACTTACCTTCGCAGTAGGTGACATGAATGCCGAATTTGGTCGCCAAACATCATTCAAAGGCCCCCTGAAAACTCCGTGGCTTCAAGCATGTTCCGAATGAACTCAGACGTGGGGGGGTTTTCCAAAATTAGGGGGTACTTTTTTGGGGGGTCCCAATAATAAGGACTATAGTATATTGGGGTCTACATTGGGGTCCCCTGATTTAGGGAAAACTACCATATACCCAATGCCAAAAACCCCTCTGTCAAAGAGCCGGAAGCTGCTGTTTGGCGGCCCTTTGTCATTTTTACAGGGGCAGACTGAAAAGACGACGTTGGGCGAACGCGGGCACACAGATGTGGAATCAGGTTTAGGGTTTAGGGTTTAGGGTTTAGGGAAGATCGCAGTATTGCTGCGAACAGATGTAGGCTATTACAATCACCATCTAATCGGGGCTTGGGAGCGTTTTCTCTTGATGGCAAGGATTATGTTGATGGCAGTGCACATGACAGCAGAACATGCAACATGGTAGAACATTAGGAACTGCGGAGATGATCAAAGATGACTAGAGTCAGCTTGCCTTGAAATCTTGGAAAGCAATTGAGGGGGGTTGTCTTGTGCGCCCTCGTGGTGGCAGCCTGCTAACACATTATCCTGGGTTGCTGTTGGGGTGCTTAAGATAAGCTGCTATAATGAGAAAGCCCCATTATCTACTCATTTACTATATACCCATATTATGGTGACTTAATCTAAGTTCCTTAACAGCAACCCAATATCCTGGGCCCATGCGCCAGAACGGATGCAGTGAAACCCAGGCTTCGGCCATGGGCACCGCAACCAGCACCACAGACACAACAAAGAAACTGGTCGAACAGAGGGGTTTCTGCCTTGGGGGAGTATTAGGGAAAGATTGGGGTTATATTGGCATAAGGGAACAGAAGATGGAAACAACTATTGAAGGTTGAGGGTTTAGGGCTTATGAGGAGTTCAGGGGATCTTACTAGCTTCCACCTACAAGCCAGAGGCCCCCATAATCATACAGAGCTCATTGAATTTGGTACGTGCACCTTTCATGGATGGCTCCTGGACCGCTGTCATCATACTCCTCGCCGGTGAGCCACATCTGCTGGAAGGCAGAGACGGAAGAGATGGTGGCGCCCCCCAGCCAGGCTCCATGCTGTCGCTGGGCCGGTGCCACGACTTTGACGGTCGCATCCGGCGGAGACAAGGAGTTCAACTCCTTCGCGAGGCGCTCGGGAAGGCCTGGGAAAAGCGTGGAGCCACCGGCCAGGACGATGTTGGAGAAGAGCTCTCCTTGCACCTCCGTATTGCATTTCCTGGGTTGCTGTTAAGGAACTTAAATTAAGTTACTATATTGGGGAAACCCTATTACTTACTCTATATATATACACCCATTATGGTAATTTAATTTAAGTTGCTTAACAGCAACCGAGTTTCAGGATCGAATGCAAGGTGAGCTCGGGGAGGCCACGTGCCCCGAGGCTGGCCAGCCCAGGCTGAAACAGCAACTCAGGACATCGAAAGGAAGCGCAGCCGATAGAGGCCAAGGACCCACCCGGCATCTCATAGCGGACCTCCTTGTAGCCATCCTGGGAGGCAGCTTCAAAGTCCAGGGCAACCCAGCACAACTTCTCTTTCATGTCCTGTAAAATGTCGCGCTCGTGGCTTGAGTTGAAGTAGAAGCCCCTCTCGCACAGCAGCTGCTCGAAAAACTCGGAGAGGTCGCGGCCAGCTACAGATGAGGACAAAGCCGCGTGAGGCAACAAATATCCTTCGCAAACAGGCACCGCAGACGTGATGCCATGGCCAGATTCCACCACCAACCCTGTGGTCCTCCCTGCACTGTACAGCGACAGCACGGCCTGAACAGCAATGTGCACCGCGGGGACGTGGAAGTTCTCGAAGAGGATGCCTGAAAAGCATTTGGATATCTATTCAAGAACTATGCTCAGAATTTCAGAATGCTGGAGGGTTTGTGGCGATACAAAGCAAAGAAATAGGAGCTTCCTCTCGAGGTAGGGGCCTCTCATTGGGAGTCCCCTTGATACACATGATAGAATGTTGGGGTCTGTATTTGAGGGCTCAGTCCATGGAAACTCCACATAAGCCACATAAACCGCTATCTAACCCTCAGTCCCATTTGATTTTCCATATTGATTCCCCATCTTGGGTATCTAAAACCCCTGTATATTCGTCATATGGTAATTTCCCAAAACAGGGGGACCCCAATGTAGACCCCAAAAGTACTATAATCCGTATCATAAGGACCCCAAAAAAATACCCCTAATTTTGGGGAAACTCCCCAACGTGTGTCTGAAGCCACCCCAGCGGCGGGTCATCCCTTCGCGGTTGGCCTTGGGGTTCATGGGGGGCTCTGCTACCAGGACGGGGTAGTCCTCTGGGGACACCTCCAACTCGTTGTAGAAGATGTGGGACCAAATATCCTCCATATCCTCCCAGCTTACAACGACGCCACGATCTATGGGATGCTTCACATGCAGCATGCCTCGCTTTGCTAGGGCATCATCACCCACATGTCGATCCTTAAAATCCACACCCACCATCACCACGTGATGGCGCAATCGGCCCACCACGGATGGGAAAACAGCGCGCGGAGCATCCTCGCCGGAAAACCCCGCTTTGCAAAAGCCGCTGCCAGCATCCACAACAACCGCTGCCATTGCGCGGCTCTACGAGCTATTCAAACATCTTGGGAGCTACACGACAACTATGTACAGCTTGAGCCAAAGATTCGAATCTCGAAGCCTCTCGAAGGGACTATAGTCCCTGAGTACCTGCATTTCTTGCTCAATTGCATGGCTTCTTCTCAGCTATATATACCACCCCCATGCAACACCACTTCACAAAGAAAGGAACACGACAGCCAAGCACCCAAACAAATGCTACAAACAAACCAAAAAAAAAGCAGCTCCTCAAACATCCAGTCTGTCTCTACTCCCCAGACCTTGCTCCAGATCCGGCAAGTAATCCTTACCAATATCGCGCTACTTTTGCAAAATGACATGTTCATGCCTACATTGTCAGCAAAATGCTGGAATGTCGTAGGATCCTACCATGGGCCTAGTAGAAGCTGCTGTTTGCATGCCCAAAACAACCATCTGCAGGGAGCGTTAGCTTTGCACGGCCTCGATTTCCACCGCCCCAGACATGGCCGAGCCTGGTTCCGAAGCATTGAAGCAGAAGTTTGTTATATGTCCGTGCTTGGAGGTCCTCAGTATAATGCTTTTTGGAAATGTCTGCTTTGTTGTACTACACAGCTTAGGAGGACCCCCCACCCTGTAATAGTGGTATAATAGGAATATAAGAGGACCCTAATATAATCCCTATTATCCATTATAATCACTATTACTGGGTGGGGGGTCCACCCAATACAGAGCACACAACAACATGCTGGTCGGGTCGTTAGCTTTGTTGGCTGAGCATTGCTACAGGGCATGCGACCCCTGAGCGTTGCTATCGTGCGGGTCAGCATGGACTCTTCCCTGTATCTTCCCATTGGCTAAGCTGCAGGCTGTGTCCAGACCCTGAAAGTCATCATTACCATTATTATGGCTAATATCTACTAATATTATTGTTATTGTGAAAATACCAGCACTCTGCGCAGTTTAGGGGATCACTTGCGAAGTTGGAATTTATAGATCTTTTTGCGAATCTGCGAGGGTTTTCGCACGACGCGGCGAACTGGAGTGTCTGACTGCACCTGCCCAGTCATGGCTCATCTATAGGCATGCGCCCAAATTAAGGCCTCTACAGAAAAGGGCTGCTCAGGATACCCCAGAAAAAACAAGACTACCGTACCATGAGAAGGACCATCATTTGGGCGCATCCCCATGTAGAAGACATCAAACACTTACTCCACGGCATAGCAGACTTTTGCTGTCATTGCGCCGTGGGTAGGTTGTGCAGGTGCTTGTGGTTGTCGCCCATGCAGCATGCGAAGGGATCGGACAATGTGCCTGCAATCCTAGCATCTTTTGCAGGTTAAACACTCCAAACTCTGCACCGCTACAATGACATGTCGTCTCAACACGCAAACCTCCATTCGTTGAAAAGCTGACGGTCATACAATGATGCCAAATGAAAAGGATAATGTCGCAATGTGATTACCGCAAGGACAAACGCATTCTACCCCGACATGTTGGCAGTTTGGGTGATCGTTGCACTGAGCGCTCTGACAGGGACACATTCAACCGTTTTAAACAAGCCCATGTGTGCTAGGAGTTGCCTTGAACATTGTCATGACAAGTTTTCTGCTACTTGGATTCTATCAACCAAGCGATTGATAACAAACATGCATGGCTTAGCAAAATGCTGGCGTACTGGAGGGTAGTTGATCAAACTGCCTCCTCCCAATAGTGCCCATTAGAAGGAAGCCCCCAGAAGTTTCACCAACCCCCATAGATGGCTTGATAGTCAGGCTTTGGGAACTTGATCCACACACAACTCAATCTATTCAAGTGTGGGCAGTCGGATGTCCACACGCGTTTGTGCTAAGGTGGGAGGGCTTTAAGGTGAAGTGCAACACAGCGATACACAAGCCTCTGCCTGCAGTTGCATGGCTCTTGGCTTCATTTGTGCCGTTTTAACCTGATATTTATCAGATGCCTACTCGGCAAGCTTGCACAAGGTATGGAAGACGACAGGCATGCTCCAGCAGAATTTGCAGGGTTGAAAGACGCGGGTCCAGAGGGACAAATCGTACAGGAACACCCATCAATCTAAATCTATGAGGAGACCGTAGAGGAACACCCACCAATCTGAATCTAAGAGTTCTTGCAGTGCATGCCCATGGAAAACACTTCCTGCAGCATCGCGCAAGAAACAGTTTCCGCCAGACTTCCCGGCTTCAAGCGCTGGGGGGAGGGAGATTTTCCAGCGTGCCTGGCATAAGCTTTGTTTTTCGCCTTGCGTAAGATAGGGGTATGTAAGGGTAACTAGGGGCATTTGGGTAAAATCAGATTTCACGTTTCATGTTCTCCAGTTCTGGCTTATACTTCCCCTAAACCTTACACACCTCTACGAAACCCCTATATACACCCTTTTAATATAACCCCTATATAAATCATGCGTATCCCCTGTATAGACCCTGTATAACAGCTGTAAAACCCCTATACTACCTCTACATAACTCCACATAACCTACGTAACACCCCTATAGAACCCCTATATAACCCCTACATAACCCCTACATAACCCCTATAGAACCCGTACCCTCCCCCCGGCTTGGCAACGAAGCCTGGGCCTGGCTTTGCCTGGTTCCTTACTGGGATACTTTTAAAAAATCACTCTAAGGCCAAACATCCTTTAAAGGGGTCATATAGGGATTGTATTGGGATAATGGAAAAGAAAATGGAAACTACTATAGTATAATAGGGGGTTTAATAGGGGTAATATGTTTTTTGAGTCGTAGGGTTCTGTTAAGGATTTAACCGTTTTTGGAGGCTTAGGGATATTAAGGGTAACATTTGTGGTAGACCCCACAGCTGTAAGGTTCCAATTTTGGAGGTTGAGGGGGTATCAAAATATTGTACTGACATGCACAAACTATATGAAACATGGGATGAGGAGGCAACCCAACCACTGAGATAAGGATTATGTCGGATGTATATATGGACCATATAAGAAAATGTAAGCTTTTGGTGGAAAATCAACATTTACAATGCGCCTTTGGGCTCTCCCCCTACCCACGAACAGTCATAGAAAGGCATTACAGCATGTTGTGTTGACTGTCAGTTGCCCTGGGGGAGAGCCCGAATAACATTCACTATTCGAGTTTAATAACAAACGAGGAATCTCCAAAAAGATCTATCCAACAATGACCCAGCTGTAGAGTTCCCTAGGCCCCAAACCGTAAACCCTAAGGGCTACCGGGAAATTCCAATGGCCGGAGTCTAGGGCTCTCCTTAGTAGCTGATATGCAGAAGCTCCTCCAAATTACCGGGGGCAAGGTGTTTGGGGTTATATAATCCCTATATAGCCCCTATATAATCCCCATATAACCCCTAGATAATCCCCATATAATCCCCTGCAGAATCCCTAGATAATCTCAAACGCACAACGTACTCCGTGTTCGGGTTACCACCTTTCTCCTCTGATAATCCTACATCTGCCCATATACACCCCAGTTTCCATTTCATTCATGTCCCATGTTCTTCTCCGTTTGATTCTCCACCATCGGGCTACTGTACACCTATATAACTTATAAACCTTTGTACCCTGAAGGGGCTGCGGAAACCCAACTCCCTTTGTTCTCTCTCCTATCTGCTTCAGGAGGTTACTCTATGAAAACCGGCCCGGAGAAAACAAAGGGCTGGTCTGGCCCTTAACCTTCATCTGCGCGTCTGGCAAAGAATTTGTATCACCTCGTAGAGATGATAAAGTGATTTTGACAACCACCCCATTATGTGTGTATGTACTGTTCAAAGAAAGCATTTGGACTCTGAGAGAAAAATGTGGAACGTCTTCTTGAGAAAGCTGGGGTCTAGGGGCTTAGGGTTTAAGGTTTGCAGGTTTACGGTTTAGCGGCTCCGGGCCCAAAAGATACGAGAACACACTCCAAAAATCATCCAACGTTCTAAGATCCTAACCATGGGCCCCAAAAGTGCGCACCTACCTATTTCCTGAAACCTAGATATAAGTCCCTCATCGGATTATTATAGTACGTATATAGATAGAGACCCTGAGATTCCCCAAGCTGAAGGGTCCACAATTACAACCTTTGTAAAGAAATTCATGGATTTCCAGAAATGAGGTCCCTTCTGAAACGGGTTATACTACAGTCCTGATTATATAGGAAGACCATAATTTTGTGGAAGCTCCACTTAACTAGGGTAGGTTTGGGAGCCCTATGGAAAATGTATCTTTATGGCTTTAGTAGGATTATATAGGGATTAAAGGTAATGTAAATTAAGCAATGTTTAAACCGTAAACCCTAAACCTACCCTGTCAATCTTTGTGAAGTTAGAAAGACCCCAGCAAGGATCTCCCCATCTACGGTTTGAAGTGGTTTGGGTTTAGGGTTTGGGGTCTAGGGGGCAGAACGGCAGTCAACAACGCTGCCTCCGCCATGTCTCAGGATGAAACATCCCGCTGCGCGCCTCTCCAGTACTGTGGGGGCTCTACAGGGGATACCACCTCAATAGTGAAGAATTCAAGAGAAGATGAGATGGACACTGGCTTCACATGGGGGCTTGATAGGTATCTGAATAGATACCGATACTACGACTATCTTGAGTTCTGTTTGAGGTGCCCTCTACCGAAGCTGACAGCCAGGGTTCCTTGCAAAGATGCCCAAAAACATTCCAATCTGTGAGATACCCCCACATACATCCTGGGCTTTGAAGCTTCTCCGGTCCTGTCCAGTGCACATGCCAACTGCGGGGAGACACTGTCTACACATCTGCAGGTCGCCAGAAGGATGCGAAGACAATCCTAAACCCTAAACCCTGAACCCTAAACCAGTTGGTCAGTGCCTTCTGCAGCTTAGCGATGGCACGAGCCGCATTCTCCCGGGAGAGACCTTGGCGTGGCTGCAGCTGCCGTGCACCCTAGGGTGTAAGGTTTAGGGGCATGAAGGCGCGAATGAAATTCAGTGGTTGCATGGCACCCTTGCATGACTGACTTTATGTCACGTGGCTGCAGCCCTAAGATGAACCACATGG